ATGTAGTATGATTGTGAGTGCTTTGTGTGTGTGTGTGTGTGTGGTCGTAAGTCAAATACAAGAAAAAGCCAATGAGTACCATATCCCACTCTGCGTTGCATTTGTTGACTACGAAAAGGCTTTTGATTCTATTTCATTTGACCATCGTCATTCCAGACATTCCATATGGCCATCACCCTTTTGAAAGACCATTGAGCAACATCCATCCTGAGACTACATAAAGGCAGTGAGAAGCAGTAGGTCTCAACATACACCTTGGAAAGACTAAGGTGATGTACAACAAATACATAGACACAGCACCAGCGATGGCAAATGGGAAAGAATAGAGACTGTGAAGAACAACTACACATACCTAGGGAGAAAATTGACACAAGATGGAAGTCTTCTGCCAGAGACTGACAAGTGGGCAGTGTTAGACTCAAGACGAACGCCTTCAACCAATTATATTCTCCCTGTGCTGAGTTTATTTATTTATTCAAAATTGCGACATGACAATACAAAGTGTGCACTAGGCAGCAAGTATGCTGATAGCGTGCACACCCAACACATACCTGTACATATGACGTAAAAAAACAACAACAATAAATAGTTAAAGCAAGATTATACACAACTATCACACGGACAAGCACCGATGGGCGGGACACGCTAAGAGCCACTATGTGTCTCTCTCTATCACTCACTCACTAACTCACTAACTCACTCACTCACTCACTCACTCACTCTCTCTCTCTCTCTCTGTCTCTGTGCGTGTGTGTATGCATGTGTGTGTGTGTGTGTGTATGTACGTATGTATGTATGTATGTACGCTTGTGTATTTCATATCAAAAATGCAAACAGAAAAGATAACTCTTTACATTTGGTGAATCAGATACAATTTACTTTATATCTCATACTGTCTCGTTAATAAGTTCATTGTTAACGAATCTAAAACCAAGTGACTTCTCAAACTGTAGGCTTTCATAATGTGGCCTCTACTTTGAGAAATTGTAACCCTCCCCCATAATTGATATCAAAATATTGTTCCGTAAATTACTTGTCAAATATTCTGTGTAATGCTACAAATGGCGTGGTTAAATGTAATCAGAATCATTCACTCCATCCATGATATTAGAATTTTTACATTAAAAGCTCATAATACTGTATGTACAGAATTTCTCACTATCGAGACCTCAAATGGTCCGTACAGGTACATGTACTTTGATATAAAGGCCAATAACCGACGAGAAGGTTGGGAAAGACAAGAAAAATGACTCCCTTAAGCTCCAGTTCTGAAACATCAGGATCTTTCTGACTAATTTGCATCATTCTTGTCTTGACTTGTCTAACGTTTGTTTCCTTGTGGACTTCCAAAAAATTGTCTTCACTTATTTGCATACCAATCAATAGTTCGAGCTTATAAACCTGCAATTCTCCTGCACAGTCTCTAAGTGTCACTGACGAAAGGTAGTGGATACTATATATAGCTACCTGAAACGTCTGACCGTTTCCAAAATCATATCCAGATGCTTGAGTAACTTTTGGCGAATGACTCCCTTCTGCCGCATCGTTTCTGCATGAACAGGTTTCAGGTTCAGCGCACGCGATAACTTTGTTTTCAAACGGGTGAAATGAGCTGGAAGTAATTACCCATAAAAAGGGTAGGTAATTGTAAAAATTGACAACTTTTGTAAGAAACTGATCCCTTAATTTGTTTACACTAATAGAGCATAATGCTATCAATTAAGAATAGCTGAGAATAATTAGCCTCCTTCGCAGACTTGTAGGGCGGCGGCGTTTAATTTTTTTTCGGTGAGCGACGCGAGTTATGCTGCCGAGGGACTTTGCCGGGGAGAGAGGGTTTCGTCTTGTGTGTGTGTGTGTGTGTCTGTCTGTCTGTCTGTGTATGCGTGTGTGTGTGAGCCTCTGTGTGTGTGTGTGTGTGTGTGTGTGTGAGTGCTTTTGTGTGTTAGTTTGTGAGTGTGATAGTATGATTGTGTTTTTGTGTGTGGGGGGGGGGGTGATCACATACAAGTCGTAAGTCAACTACAAGAAAAAGCCAATGAGTACCAGATCCCACTCTGCGTTGCATTTGTTGACTACGAAAAGGCTTTTGATTCCATTTCATTTGACCATCGTCATTCCAGACATTCCATATGGCCATCACCCTTCTGCAAGACCATCGAGCAACATCCATCCTGAGACTACATAAAGGCAGTGAGAAGCAGTAGGTGTCAACATGCACCTGGGGAAGACTAAGGTGATGTACAACAAATATGTAGACACAGCACCAGCGATGGTAAATTGGAAAGAATAGAAGCTGTGAAGAACAACTACACATACCTAGGAAGAAAATTGACACAAGATGGAAATCTTCTGCCAGAGACTGACAAGTGGGCAGTGTTAGACTCAAGACGAACGCATTCAACCAATATATTCTCCCTGTGCTGAGTTATGGCAGTGATACTTGGGCTCTAACCAGCACTCAGATGGAAATGCTCAGGGTCGCACAGCAGAAGATGGA